GTTACCTGCCTTAACAGCTCTCCAATTAGAGCACACATTTCTGATCATATTGCGGTTTGCTACAGTCTTGGCGGGGAAGATAAATTTACTTACGGGGAACAGACTATTACTAGGGGCAGGCAGGGCTCTTTTTGTAGCAGGAACTCCTTTGCATATTAGGCCACACCCCCTAATGTAGCCAATCCTCCAAGAGCTTACAGAGCTCTTCTTACAGGAGCTACTGTAATACATGGGGGGGGGCCTATATCATAAAAGAGTGTGATTGCAGGAGGCTGTTCAGACAGCCAAGCTGGAAGGGGTGTGTGTATCATGAAACATCTGCTGTTGGCAGGGGTCATTTCCTGCAGGAGCACACAGGAGCAGAGCACATGCAACAGGAGCGGAGGTGGTTTGCCATTGCCTTCCCAGGTCCACATCCCTACTCTACCATGGAAGCTTTACATGATCTCAGCCTGATCTACCTCACAGAGTTGTTGTGAGGATAAAATGGAGGAGAGGAGAACAACATAAAGTGCTTTGGCAGGATATAAATGAAGTCAACAAATGTGTGAACATAAGAGAAGCCATATTGGATCAGGTCAGTGGCCCATCCAGTCCAACATTCTGTGTCACACAGTGGCAAAAAAAAAGGTGCCATCAGGAGGTCCACCAATGGGGCAGAACTCTAGAAGCTCTGTTGCCCCCCAAGCACCAAAAATCACTGCCCCAAACAGAGTGTTCCATCTATACCTTGTGGCTAATAGCCATACTTATGCATTATTGCGTATCTGTGCTTCATCCTTAAATTTTTCAATAATTCCATCTATTCTGCACAGGTAAGTAGAGAGAGGAAGGAATTTCTGTCTGAGAATTCTCAGGATCTTCTCTATACTGCAGTTCCTGGGGGTTTGTGTGTGTGTGTGTGTGTGTAAAATTTGCTGCCATGCAGAAATAAAGTTCACATGAACAAGCACACAAAGCCCTCTGGGCTGGGTTTTTTTAAAAACAGTCCATTTCAAGCACATTCCAGACTTCAGGCCCAGATAACAGCTCTTGCTATCCATTTCACAGTTCCTGAATACACTTTTAAGAATCTCCAGCCAAGTCAGAATTCCACCCTGCTTAAATCTACAGCAGCCTCGCTAAGGGAGAGCGGTTTGTCATGTTAATGAGGTCCTTCTTTGTAGCCACAGAGGCATCTGAAAGCTATTCATTCATATAAATATGGTTTCCCCGCAATTCTGGTGCCTCCCGTTCAGCAACCCAGCTGTCGTTTCTGGTCTTCCTTAGCAGACGTCAATAACAGGATTTAAGATTTTTCTGTTGCTGTTTCTTTAATCTATGTTGCCGTGCAGATCTCGATTGTCAACTGGAACCACGGCTTTAAAAATGGTTATTAACAGAGGCAACAAAAACCAGAAATAGGAAAGCTGCATTTCATGAACAAAAACTGTACGGGCCACAAAACAGTCTCCACCCCCCCAGTCGTCAAAACCAGAAGAAATGTTTCTTCCTAACTGGGACGAAGAACACACCTCAAAAAATTTTGCAACCCACGAAAGTTTCACACGTTCCACAACAGTACATATAGTATATAGTATTCTGCTTCTAGTGCCCTAGAATAATAATAAATAGTGAGTGGAAGGCACAAAGAGCTATACCTCGGAACATAAGAGCAAGAGTCCAGTAGTACCTTAAAGACTAATAAAATACGTGGCAGGGTATGAGCTTTCATGAGTCACAGCTCACTTCTTCAGAACCTAAGAACGAGCCTTGCCGGATCAGACTGGTGGTCCACCTAGCCTAGTGCCCTGCTTCACTCAGTGGCCAGCCAGTTGCTCTGGAAGGTCAACAAGAAGCCGCCAAGGCCAAGGTCTGCCTACGAGGCTGTCCCCTGGCATTGATGGTCAGAGGTTTGCTGCATCTGTAGATGGAGGTTCCCTTTAGCCACCATGGCTGGTAGCCACTGATGGACCTCTCCGCCACAAACCTAATCCCTTTTTAAAGCCATCAGTGTTCATGGCAGTGAATGTCACAGTTTAATGGCTCATTGGGCAAAGAAGTTATTTCCTTTTGTTTGTCTTGAATTTATTGCCCATCACCTTCACTTACGAGGGGGAAAACTCTATCCCGTTTCTGTACCCTATGCATCTATATCCAATTAGGAACATGTGTCCCCACCCCCCCCGCCCCACCCCCCGTGTTTCATGCCTGTCAGCTATGCTGCCATAGGGGTTGGGGGTGGGGTGCTAGCTTGCCAGGACTGCTGCATTCCTTTTCAGCTTCTGCAATGCTTGCTTATCTATGGCCTTGCAGGTGGTGTGTACTGTGGCTGTGGAACCTGACAATGCCACCCTTTTAATTTTATAAACCTCTGTCATTTAGCCTTTCCTCTTTAAGAAAAGGTGCTTCAACACCTTAATCATTTTGGTTCCTCTCTTCAGTATTTTGTCCAGCTCTACAATATCCTTCTTGAGAAATAGCAATCTTTGGGGGAAGCATCCGCATGTCACATTTCTCTATTCATCCTGCAATTCCTCATTCCCCCCACCCCCCAGCCCATTCACTGTGATCTTTCCCAAACCTGGTTTGATACAATCTATGCAAAGACTGCATGTCCAGGAAGGGCTTTGGGATGCCATGCAGACAGCAAGGTGCAAATTTTTCCAGATCTTGCCCACATCGGTACCATTTTTCTTCCTTCAGTCCCTGCTGTAGTCATTTTCTCTATCCACTCAAGAGCTCTTTCCAGGCCCTTGAAAAATTAGGAACAGCTGTATTTGTTTCTTGTTGTTCAGTCGCACAGTTGAGTCCGACTCTTTGCGACCCCATGGACCACATCACACCAGACCCTCTTGTCTTCCGTGCTCCGAAGTTTGCTCAATTTCATGTTCGTTGCATTGATAACACTGTAACCATCTCATCCTTTGCCGTCCCCTTCTTCTTTGACCTTCAATCTTTCCCAGCATCAGGGTCTTCTCCAGTGAGTGCTCCCTTCTCATTGGGTGGCCAAAGTATCTGAGCTTCAGTTTCATTATCTGGCCTTCCAGGGAACAGTCAGGGTTGATTTCTTTTAGGATTGACTGATTTGATCTTCTTGCAGTCCAAGGGACTCTCAAGAGTCTTCTCCAGCAAACAGCTGTATTACCATAATGTTATAACACTGTAGCAATATATCATTATAACTGTCTACTGCAACAATACACTAGTCCCATTTTCATTGTGGTTTAAAAAAAACAAAACTCTAACCCTTTTGGTTGCAGATATATAAGGGGAAAGGTACTGGCTACACACTTGGTATAACTCTGCAACCAAAAAGGCTAGATGCTTAGCTTTAAAGAAAATGAAATGTGAACTAGTGCATTGTTGCAATAAGACTGTTATATAGTGTGACAAAGCTATAGCAATAAGACTAAAACTTTTTTTTTTTAAAGAAAAGTTTGGAAAAAGCCATCTTGTGGAAGGGAGGAATGGCAGCTGCCGAGGGCTAAGGCAAAGAAAGTGTGGGATGGAGCACAGATGCTCCACTGCCTTTGCAAACTCCTTTGCAGGTATAGCAGCCGTGAGCGTCAACACAGCCCAGGTCTCTCTCCACACTTTAACATTAAAGAAACAGCAGTGGGAGCGTTTGGATTGGGGCGACGGTGTTGGAGAAAGGGTGTGCGTGAGCATGGAGGGCTGCACATCATTTCTCCAGCAGACATCCTGCTTCCCCTGGAGAGCTGGTATGAGCTGGAGGGGAGGCAGGTACGATGACGAAGCTGAGGGACAGCGTGGCAGGTGGCGTTAACCCTCCCTTCCCTCGGTGCCACGGCTCCAGGCCACACTGGCCACTGTGCCCCACAGCAGAAATTGTGAGATCCAATAGCACATTTCTCCCTGCAACATCTAGCTTGTTCTGAAGAGCTCATGGTGAAGATGGGGGGAACTACGTGGGTACTCAGAAGCCCGGATGATGGAAAACTCTCCTAAGCGAAGCCCCTGCACCCCATGGCACGTAAAATTATATCAGACACCAGGGATATGCTTTGGTGTCTCCCTCTGCAACCAGAGGGGGTAGAGTCATTTGCTTGAAAGCACAAAGGAAGCTGAGATTCTCGAGGAGGACGTTCTGCCTCCCTCTGAATTGTGCCTTGGAGTGGTGTAATTATGTATCTAGGCCAGGGTGGCTCAGAGGTTAAGACGCTGAGCTGCACACCGGAAGGTCTGTAGCTCGGCAGTTTGAGACCTGAGTGCTGCGTGACGGAGTGAGCTCCTGTCTCTGGACCCAGCTCCTGCCAACCTAGCAGTTCGAAAGCAAGAAATTGCAAGTGGATTAATAGGTACCACTTCAGTGGGAAGATAACAGCGTTCCGTGCGCCTCGGCATTTAGTCATGCCGGCCACATGACCACGGAAACGTCTTTGGACAGTGCTGGCTCTTCGGCTTGGAAACGGAGATGAGCACTGCCCCCTAGAGTCGGATTCGACTGGCTTTCGAGCAAGGGAAACCTTTACCTTTACTTTACCCTGCTTTCTCCCTGGTGGGAATCCAAAGCGGCTGACGCCACTGTTCTTCCCTCCTCCATTTTGTCCTCACAACAACCCTGTGAGGTAGGTTAGACAGAGAGAGAGAGAAAGAGAGTGTGAGTGAGTGACTGCCCAAGGCCACCCAGCGCGCTTCCGTGGTAGAGTGGGGATCCTAAGCCAGGTCAGCTAGATCCTCGTCAGACACTCTCACCACCACTCGAAGTTACAGAATCCTTGCAGCACAGCTAAGACCCTGGGCTCAGTGTTTCAGATCTGCGTGATCTGGCCCTCGGACATGAGACGACGGATCCCGTAAGTACGTTTCCAGCTGCTTCCCTAATTCCCACCGCCCAGCCAAGGATTCTCTCGACCGTTCACCTTCTTTATAAAGACTTTTATTCAACTTCTGATAGCAAACAAAAGACGTTAAGTTTTGAGATCGAGTGTACCTGGTACACCGTTACAGCAATGAAATGGCAACAGGGTATTCCTTGCTTCGTTCTTCTTTCCCCCCAAGACCGGACTCTGCCATACCCCTCTCTGTCTCTGTCTCCACCCACCCACCCCCAGCCCTTCCCCTACTGTCCAAGCCAGACATCCTTTTGGTTCCCGAACAGAAAGGCGCTTTTTTGGGCCCATGTGCAGCCGGGTGTTCTGAGTTCAGACATGATTCAGAGGATTAAAAACAAAGGAGGGGAAAAAGATGCAGATGACAGAAATGTTCTAAACACACTTAAAAAAAAAAAAGGAAAGACAGAGGGGGAGGAAAGCAGCGGTTCTCTACGGATGGCGTTTTCACATTCAATATCGAAGAACTGCCTACAAGACACAGAGTTTGAAGTCTTTGATGTGAAGGATAAATTAAACGTGGTCCATCTGCTAACAAGGCAGCAAAAAAGAAAAGAAAAGAAAAAGAACGCAAGGGTCTTAAGTGGCAGGTGGATATAAATCCTGGTTCTGACAAAACCCGAGAACAACTGAACTGTGGACAAGAACCTGGGGGGGGGGATTAAACCCTGCTACAGAGGTGTGCTTGCATACCTGCTTCCGTGGAATCGAGGGGTTCCCCTCCCCTCTCTCTCCTCCTCCCTCTCTCTCTTCCCCCCTTCCAACCTTGATGGTTCTCTCCCATTCCGGGAAAACCTAATCACAAACAAAACCGAACCCCAGCTATGTGCTTCAGTCCCGGCCACGTCTTTTAAAAAAACAAACAACTCGGCCAAAATATGTTGAGCGCCCAGAATCGTGGGAAAAGCTGGATGGATCGGGGTTAATAAGATTCTATCTGGAGAGACAATGGAAAGGTGACAGAAGCTCTCGGCTCATCGTCCCGCAAAGTGATGCCCCCCACAAACGTCTGGCTGGCTCCTTCGTAGCACTGAATATGTACACTCTTCTAAGGAGGGGTGGGGTGGGGGTGGGGGTGGAACCACACACCCTGCTTAAGCCGGTGGGTCGATTATCGACAGAGGCCTCCCGCTTGCAGGGCTTTTCTGCGTCGCCTCCCACCCCAAACCCTAAAATGTATCACTCAAAGCCTGGGAAATTAAACATGAAAAAAGGGCGCCTGGATGCCATCGTGACCCGGCTAAAGAGGCAAGCCTTTTCTCGGTGATCGGGTGAGCTGAGGTTCCACCGTGCTCGTGCCAGTTCTCTCTCTCTCTCCTTTCCTTCCTACTCGGCTTTGTACTTTAATTATCATACAATTTTACAACTGTAGTAGGGACTACTACAGGCCTGAACCTCCCCCACCCCCTTCCCCCGCCCCTGCGCTGGGGGATTCAGAAAGTCCATCGGTCGTGTAAGTGGCCTGCACTGCTAAAGGAATTGCTCGCCGCCGCCTCGGAGTTTGGTGCTTGCCGAGTGGAATCCTCGCCGTTCAAGCTCTTCCGGCAGACGGGACACGTGTCGTGCTGAAAGGGAGAGGGGCGCCAGTCAGTAGCAGCAAGGCAGGAGGCCGGACCACGAGTGACTAAAACAGCCGAGGTCTGTTACCATGCTCGCAGCCCGTGCCTTAATTTACGGTCAAGGTAAACATGTATATTTATCTCAAATATCCTTTTGGGATCCTCTTCGTCATGTGCATGAACGACCCGCTGTCCACACTCAGTGGGCTGTTCATGTTAAGTGCGTAGGACTTTGGTGAAATCCAATATGTGGAGGCTTCGTGTACAATCTAGCACTTAATTACACCGTTTGGGCAGCCACATTCTGGCTGCCTTACTACAACATGTTCGTATGTGGATGGTCCTGTGATGTGGGGCACCTGCACGTGGGAGAGGGGTGCCCGAGGGGCAAAGGGCCACAGTCTCACTTGTCCCTCATGCACAGACCTCTACTAGCCCCAAGGCATCAAGAACACTCCCTGGATCCTTAGGGGGAAAGAAAATCACTGCTCATATATCCTAGCACATTCCCATGCCCTGTGAACCTGTGAGCCAGTCTGGTGTAGTGGTTAGGAGCGCGGACTCTAATCTGGGAGAAGCGGGTTTGATTCCCCACTCCTTCACATGCAGCTGCTGGAGTGACCTTGGGTCAGTCACTCTCAGAGCTGTCCTCGAAAGAGTTCTCTCAGAGCTGTCCTCGAAAGAGTTCTCTCAGAGCTGTCCTCGAAAGAGTTCTCTCAGCCCCACCTCCCTCACAGGGTGTCTGCTGTGGGGAGGGGAAGGGAAAGGAGTTTGTAAGCCGCTCTGAGACTCCTTTGGGTAGTGAAGGGTGGGGTATAAATCCAATCTCTTCTTCTTCTTCCCCTGAGGCTCCACCACCTGCAGCTGTTCAAAGGTCTCTGGTTCCCTCCAAGAAGCCTGCCCGTTCTCCCTCACTGCCCCCTAGGTCAGCACTGGCCTCCCAGAACACTGTGATCCTGCTTCTTACGGCCCCTTCCTCAACCTCCCCCTGGCCTTGACCGTGAACCCTTAAGACCCACCTCCTTACCAAAGCTAAGCATAACAGTGCCATGCCCCCCCACCCCGCAAGCAGAGCTACTCCCCTTTTTAAGCCCATAGACTTCAGTGTACTTAGAAGGATGCAGCTCTGCTTTGGACGGCACTTCAAGGCACATGTGATGGGAAAGAACTTTCCCCCTACAAATTTTAGATCGTAGGCTCTTCATGGCAGGGACTTGTCTTGTGCCACTTACACCGAAGAAGCTACATGAAGAATAATTAATAACAACTCTGACCTCATGCTTAATTTGAACAACCCCATCAACCCAAGTGTTTCAAGCTAGGCCTCATATATAGAAGATCACACACTCCCAAACCTCTCTTTTTTGGCTGTCAAGTTGCAGCTGACTTATGGCGACCCCACAGGGTCTGCAAGGCAGAGAGACGAACAGAGGTGGTTTCCCACTGCCTGCCTCTGTCTCATGACCCTGGGCTTCCTTGGTGGTCTCCCCTCCAAGTACTGACCAGTGTTGATGCGGCTTCACTTCCGAGAGCTCGTGCGATCGGGCTAGCCTGGGCCCTCCAGGTGTAGGACTCAGCACCCCATACACCTTTGCAGTTGACCCTGGACAACTGCCACTCCACAGTCCCACATCTGGAGTCACGGAAGTGGATTTGGCTACCCACTTCACCTGCCAGTGCCCACCTGCTTGGGGGGCAGGGGAAAGGAGAGCCACCTTTCCAAATTACCCCGACTGCAAAGGTGGCATTCAGGCACAGCTACGACTTAGAGAGAAAGGGTTGGGCCCAGGTGGGCAGCGGATGGCCTGCCACGCGGCTCTGGAGATGCCCCTAAGTTCTGCTTTCCCGTCAGGGCCTGCTGTCTGAAGCATGAGCCCGTTCTGCATCTAGCATTCGCTCCGCTGTTTTACCAGCCCCACTGTCAGCCAGGCTGCCATATTGTTTATGAGCCTGGAGTTCGCCTGCCTGACCTGTGGTACAAGTTGGTGCCCCATTCCTTCCCTCTCCCTTCTCCCCTTGTTATCTCTGGCCGTGTCTTCAGGCCTGTGTAGTGTCTCCACTTTAACTAACCGTGAGACTAGTTTCGTTTCTCGGCCTTGGATCGGTTGGGTCATCGGCTACTCTTTTCCGCCCGCGGGAAATGGGCCAATTGGCCCACAGGTGTGGGGGGGAACCTCTTGAATCTTCTATATTACTATATGCTTGTTCCATGCTTCCCATTCCTAACAGTGACCATGTTACTGCAACCATAGTACTGACAAT